GAAACCAGAATCCAGTTAGCTTAGCTTAGCATAAAGACTGAAAAGGGCTAGCCTAGAAGCCCCTCTAAAGCTCAGTAAGAAACACATTATATATCTCCTCTATGTAATACTTTTTTTTTTTTTGATCTTAAGTGTGAAAAAATGCATTCACCATTTTACGTATTTACCTTTGTACACACCCAGGCTAGCTGTTTCCAGTCTTTATGCTAAGCTAAGCTAAGCCTGTCTCCTGGTTCCAGTTTCAAATTGAACAGACTGATATCTATCTTCTCATCTAACTCTCTGCAAGAAAGTGCATAACCGTATTTCCCAAAATGTCTAATGTTTCCTTTGACTAGAAGTGCATACTCAAATTTTACAGGATTTAGAAATATTAAAGTTTTGTTTAATTGAGGAGTTCTTTCAAGCAAAAACCTCTGGAAAGCAAAAACTGCTGAACTAAGTTTAAAAACTGGAATCAGCCTAAGAAATAGCATAGCATGTTAAAGCTTTTAAATGTAGAAGATATAAATACATTAGTTTTACCAATTTTCTCTATAATGTAGTATGTTTAAGAATATGCAAGCAATCATTAATGAAAATTATGACTTAATGTATCACTGTTGTGCAAAGATTCTCCTGTAGTCTTTCTGTTTTAATGTTACATTTGAACTTTAGACCAAAAAATATGTTGGTTTATATTGAATATCAACATCAACCACTCCAAAAAGTAAAAAACTTAAGGAAAAGGATCAAGTAAAAACGAAAATTTCAGATTCCTGTCTGGCACATTTATCTCATGTAATCCCCTCCCACCATTTCTTTCTCTGTCGATCGTAAAATGATCCAATAAAGCCAAAATGATCATCATTAAAAGCTGAAAGTTTGACTTGTACTTATAATTAGGTGATTTGCAGCAATCTGCCAAAAGGACTCTGTCAATCTGTCAGCATGATCCTCCTCCTGTTAGAACCGCCTCAGAGACAATTACACTGGGCTCCTTCTAATTAGAAACTCATTGAAATTTATGAGTGCCTGTTATGAATTATTGAGTTCTGTTTCCTGAGAGGGATGCCATTAGGGAAGTTTAAGCAAGTGAATTTCTCACAGGCCCCTTTATCTGTGCGTTTGTCCACGTTCTGTCGGAATATAACAAGGTATGTGTCTCCCTCATGTGGTAAAAAGGAGAAATTGTACACGTGTAGAAGATAACAGTGAAAGGAGGCAACTGCCAGCCTTGGTGCCAAAACCAAAATAAATGAGAGCCATCTTGATAGTTTAAATGCCTGGTATTGATGTGTACACCTTAGTCTTTGCTACAGCAGCTCCACTTCCTATATGATATCGTCATGTTTTCATAGTGTTAAGGCGTCTGATGAGTGAATAATGTGACTCTGCTTCAGGTTTTGTCACACAAAGGTGGCCCCTTCAAAGAGCGAACACATTGTTGTCCTTTCAAGAGGTCCAGAGATCTGAACGTCTTCCCACTCTCCTGGCAGGTGCGTTTATCTGCGCTTGCTGAAGAGAGGTGCCGTGGTTTTATGATGAATGGGACGGAGAGCCCCTGTGGAGCAGGATTACATGGATGGATCACATCCTCTTTCAATGGATCCTTGTTTTTGCTCAGATCCAGATGTTTATTCACTCGTGCCACTGAGCTTTCTGAGCATCTGGCAGCTGTTTCTGCCAACAGGAAACAGGAGAGTTGGGAATGAACTCGCTCAACAGAATGAAGTGGAAGTGGAAGATTTTGTCCCAGCTAGGTGCTTTCATGAAAGAAAAACATAATCAGGACACTTCTCATAAGTGATTTGTTGTTTAAGGCAATTATCAAGCAAAAGTGAGAGATTTGCCAGTGCCAGCTTCTTAAATGTGAGGATTTGCTGCCTTACTCTGTTTTGTTTTACTGTAAATTGAATATCATAGTTTTGGACAATTAGTCAGCCAAACCAGCAAAAGATATCACCAAGAAATCCATCAGAGCAATTGACTGGTTGATTAGTAATAAAGGTAATTGACAGTTTAAGCTTAATAATCAAAGTAATTGCTAGTTCCAGCCTCTAGACATTTGTAACTTCACAGCCAAGCGCTTTGCTCATTCCCCTGTTGGCAAGTGTGGAGCTCATGGTGATAATGGTGAAGTTATGAGTTTATGACCTTCACATACAAGTCAGGATTATGACTGCGAAACCTCTTTTCTAAAGGTTTCGTAATATTCAACTTGGCACTTAGAAGTACTGAAGGGCCTGAAAAACAAATAAACATGGCTGCCTCACGTCAGCAAAGTCTGTCGTTGAAGGAAATTTAACCCAAATTGAATGGATACCATCTTCTGTTATCTTATTACGTGAACACTTACAAGCTGTAAACATACTGATTTGTCCCAGAGGCCTTGGTGAAGAGTGGACAGCCTCATGCTCTAGCTGTGATACACTAAGAGGAAGCCTCAGGGTTGAGAACATGCAGCTGGCCACATTTGATAATCTATCCTCAAAGCCAGTTGGAAGAACATAACATCGAGTTTAAGGGCCTTCATTCAAACTGCTTTTCCCAGCACAAAAGAATAACACAGTGACCACAATATGCCTGTGTTGATACAATGGGCATTGGAAAAGGGTCACTGTGTGATCTCTCCCAAGGTCTACTGCGAATTTCAGTCTCTTCTTAACCTTTAAATTTTGAAAGAAGAAAAGGAAAGCCAGAATACTATATTAAAAAAAACAAGTCAATAAAAGTTTGCTAAAATTCTTCACATTTGCGCTGTCGGCTTATATTTTGTTGTGTTATCCTGAAAATCATGCACAATGGAAGAGATGGCAAAAGCTGTCACCTGCCACGCCAGCTTCTTCAGAACACAGAGGAAGTGAGTGGTGACAGCCCACACAGTTTCTCTGGAGCTGTCATCAGTCTCTCCATCATCCTCACAGCTGTCTTCTACAGTACAATTGTGTCCTTATTTCTGAGTCTTTCATTTTTTCACATCCACCATTTCATGATCAACTTGTCATGCCACATGCAGGTGAGGTTTGGGTACGTGTGAACATGGATAGGAGGGTGTCTGACATGCACAATTGTCCTGACGAAGGATGGAAAACACTCAAATTTAAACAATAGAACACATAAATACACTTATCCAGTAACACCAAACTCAATTTATCAATTGCTTATATACACTTCAGGGTTCAGACTGTACACAAACAGGACAAAGACAAACTTTAATAACATAAGTCTGAGCGTTGGTCACCTTTTCCATACAGTGCCATTTTTCTCTGTTAAAGCATTCTTAGATCTCCATGACTCAATTGCTCAAACTGAGTTTGGTGGTATAGAACATGTCATATGTCAGATCATATGGTTTCAGGATAATAAATTTGCTTTAATGAGTAGGTCATTAACCTGCTGTTTACCAGGAAAAAACAAACAAACATGGTACTGAGAAGAACTCTTCCAGTCTGGAGAAGAACAACAACTACATTTAACGAGGCCATAACTTTTGATCGGATACCAATTATTTTATTCTGGGATGTATACAAAAACTATTCATATGCAAGGAGGCAATAAAATGTGACATTCCTTATTGAACAAACGGCAGTAACAGCAGAAATGATTACTGAACTCTGCTCGTCTCGCTTATGTACGGTACCACTTGCAAACAACTTTATACAATGTTATTAAAATCCAGATGTGCAATCAGCGTACAGTGGAAGGGGCAAAGAGTTGCAGGGTCTTCACTGTGCCGACCTTGTAGACTTGAAGGTGACGAGACTGCAGGGACCATGTACGCACTGAAGACTGGGGCAAACTTAACATTTATTATTGTACCAGATGCAAACACAAACTTGAAATGTTCAAACATCCAGATGCTCAAATGGTCCACATATCAGAGAGAATAGGTAAAGTATCAGGTCTACACAGAAAAGATCACTCTGTAGATGCTTTAGCTTTTCTCATGGTCTTGTGACTTTGCAGATGTATTTTCAGGTTGTTTTTTGTGTAAAATCTTTTGTCACACGCAACACATTTAAAAGGTCTTTCTCCGGTGTGAATTTTTTTGTGCTCAGTGAGGAACGATTGGCAACGGAAACACTTACTACACTGGGGGCAGGGGAATGGACGGTCGTTTGTGTGAATTCGTTGATGGACTTTGAGCCTTTGCAGTGTGATGTATTCCTTTCCACAGTCCTTGCAGTGATACGGCCTTTCACCCGTGTGCCGCCGTGAATGGACCAGAAAAGTGCTCGAGTTGGAAAAGGCTCTTCCACATTCACTACACAGGTACGGCTTCTCCCCTCTGTGCACTCTGACGTGCTGCGTCAGTGAGTAACCCTGGTCGAAGTTGTTATCGCAGAACTTGCAGGCATATGGACGTTCCCCGGTGTGGAGGCGCAAATGAGTTTTCAGCACTTTCGGGCACGGAAGCCCTTTGCCACAGTAGGAACAAACATACGGTTTCACTTCAGCATGGGCTTGAAGGTGCTGCTCCAGACGACGCTTTGTCTGGAAAGTCTTCTCGTATTTGTCACAGTGGTACAGCTTCTGGAGCGTCTTGAACGTCGAACGTTGAGCTTTTAGATGACGTCTTAATGCTATTGGTTTCCTAAAACCCATACAGCACACAGGACAGGTGAGGTTTTCAGTTTCCTCTGCACTGGAACACACGTTTTGCTTTAACCCTCCAGCACTGCATCTCTCCTGGACTCTGGTACTGCCTACTGCAGGCTCCCCTGAGGTGATTGTGACTGGTAGGGAACAATAGGTGCTTTGATGGACTAAGCTGCCGACATGATCTGCAGGCAAAAACACAAATATGGTTAAGGTTTGTCATTTTAGCTTGTATTTATCAGCTCATAATACAGGAAAACAGCTCTGTAAAGCACTAAGGGGTCTTTATATATTGGCCAGCATCAATGGAGTGTACAACAGACCTCAGGTGTTTGCAGGTGCAGGTGTTTGTTTGCAGTTTTAAATTAATGTGCCAGTAATAAACCGTCACCTGCCACGCCAGCTTCTTCAGAACACAGAGAAGCGAGTGGTGACAGCCCTCTCTCCTGCAACTGTGAGTTTGATGGATCAGGTTCAACAAAATTGTGATGAGTTTCTTCATCACCACAGTCTCCGCCTTTTCTGTCTCTTATACTATCAATGTGATCTGATGCCACAGACGTCTGTTTAGATGCAAGCGCGGACAGGATAGTGTCCGACATGAAGGAGAATTCACCTAAAACATTTATATTTATATTAAAAATGAATATATAACGAACCAGCGGTATCGACAATCCTGGCAAACGACCCCACTGAGGTTAAATAGCTGAGTTTCCCTGCCAGTCAGTCAGAACTGAAGAAGTCCTTTGGATGAGGGACGAAACGTCTTCTAGTATCTTCAACCAAGTCCAGTTGCCCTTGACTTTAACCTTCATTGGATTTATATTAAAGGTACAAATTCACATAAAGCGTGGTGCTGATTGCCGCGGATAGATAGAATCAAATCAAATATCGTAATTATTGTGCAGTGAATCTAAATGAATGCATATATTCATCAGTATTTATAACAGATTTGATCAGGGTAGGTATTAGCCAATAGATTAATTAAAGGGACCCTGTGGAGTTTTCTCGTAAACAAGCAAAAAGTTATGTTTACATTGAGCGTTACTCACCCAAACACATTGTATTTCCTTCCTCATAAAACATTTGGAAAGCCAATTTTTTATTTTAAATTCAGCATTGTTTACATACTGTACATGTCTAGTTGCTAGCAGTCTTCTTTTTCCCTGCCTTCACTGGCTCATTGCTGCGTATCTTGGCACATTACTGTCCCCAGTTCATCAGCGAAATAGTGTGAAACCATTAGTAGGACTGCATGCCCAAGACAAACAAACGGGGACCCACTAAAAGAAAAACAGCCCCCTAAGCTACTAGAGGTCAAAAACTCCACAGGCAACCTTTAAATAAAACAGAATTTCAATGCATTTTTACTGTAGACCTTTATAAAATGCCAAATGTAAACAGGTCTTTACTTTTAGTCAACGTTTGTCTTCGCTTTTGATGCTGCAGAATCTTCCTCAGATCGTCATAATCAGAGACAAACTGCTCAAACTGGAGGTCAAAGCAGGACAGGTCAAACAAAGAGGGGACCTGCAAAAGTGGAAAAGAGTGAAAGATGTTCAATGAAAAAGTTCCTACCCATTTTCAATTTTTCAATCTCCAACGTTTACCTATGTCTTCAAGATCACTTGAAGATCACTCTTGCTGTGAGTCTGTTTTTCATAACCTGTGTGGGTGTAGGAATGCTAGCAATAAACAGCAATGTCCAAGAATTAGCCTACACCTGATGTGCTAGTTGCCAGTTGATCAAATATTTATTTCCAAAAACAACTTTTAATAGTTTTTCCAAAATTCTGTAAGATGTAATGGTTGGATTTGAAAATACATGGCCATTCTAGCCCCTGCAGTACTGTCTAGAGGCCTATTATCTACCATACAGGATGAATCTGCTAGTCATTACTTCACACAAACCACTTTAAATCCAAACATAACATTAGCAAAATTAAAATAATTTTAATCATACAGGACTTGTGTGGGTCCCACTTGTGTGTGGGTACAGTGTCCGTACCCAAAGTGACTAGCATAACTTGATGCTTACCTTTGAGAAACTTGGAACTGGAAGAAACTCTTCCAGTCTGTAGAAGAACTCCCACACTAGGATCTGCAGAACTGTATCAAAACGTGCTCCATACAGTGCTGGGAATACATCCTTGGACAGGACAAAATAGCATTAATATATGGCGTTATATTATGGCGTTATTGAAGCAAATACATCAAATATATGTTAAACAAATAGTTTTGTTCATACAAATGGACACAAAAATATCACTGGTAATAGCTGGAGTAGATCTCACCTTGAGAAATTTATCCTTTTCATATTTGTCATCGAGTAATGTCTGAACCAGCTCCATAAATGCCGATTTTGACAAGTCCACCTCTCCATCTTGATCCTGCCATGAAGAGGGCAGAGGTTTATTTTCATAACTATATTATCAGCTTTCCATTCAAGTGTCCCCCTGATGCAAACGTTTGGTATATGTATTCTGCAAACAAATATTTCCTACCTCTTCCTCCTTGCAGTTTATTGCACTCTTTTGGAAAATGCTGAGGTGTTCCTGGATGGCATTGCAGTCAATGGGATCCACCTTCTTTAGATATTCCAAAATGATCTGAAAAACACCAAAAGAACAATCAAACCCAAAAAATAAATCACACTTATGTTGACATCCGTATGTTCACTAGTGACAGACACACCCTTGTGCCAAATTATACACAGTATAATAAAATACCAAATGAATTCATGGAAAGGATTACTTTATGTAAAGTCATGAATACATTTTGTTTCACAGGCCCTGTAAGCATTCTGGGTTTTGTGTCTTGGCTCAATTTATGAGTCGGTTTCTTTCACCTGATACAAAAACAAGATATGTTCTTCTTCATAATCATAAAAAGCCCCATTTTCCACATTTACTCACCCGAGCTCTCAGTCCCAGGATGAGCTGAGTCCTCTGTTTGTAGCTCAGAAGCTCTTGGACCATCTCCGTCACTAATGTGATGAATCCAGCCAGTTTGTCATACTGATCTACATCTCGCTCCTGGGCCACCTGCCACATACAGGCTGACATCAACCTCAGTGGAGGAACCAGGAGGCGCAGGGATGCCAGAGGGAGATGAGGATCTAACAGAAGTTGCAGGTAGTGGGGGAAAAACACATAAAACAATGTATATACAGAATATAACTAATCCTATTAGTATCCTAAAGTAGAAGCATATAGAGTCAAATACAGACCTCGATATCGAGACATTTTAGGAGCGCAAGTTAGCTAAAATTAGCTAACTATTGCAGCTATATGTAGCTTTATGCAGTAAGTTATCCTCTAATCGTTAGTTTTATTTTGGAAGACTACTAATATAACTTATGTTTAGATAATATTTTATACTACTGCCAATGCGTACACTCTTAGAGAAAAATGTTACCTAGCAAGTAAACGTTTTGAAGAACATGCTTTTCGCCTGCATCAACAACATTAAAACATCCGGTCCAAATCTTTCAAAACAAAAGTGGCTGCCCGACAAAATTTCAATTAGACAGGAATCACATGTCAACATTCTCCTCCTGCCCGGCACCTAATCCCTTCACCATATGGTAATTTTTGTTGTCTTTTAATAGGTATACATTACACAAATACTGTACACTGAAAGAATATTATTAAAATATATCCTCCGGTATTCTTCTGAAATCGTGAGACGCTTAACGGAAGTCGTGTGGTTGCTATGGGAACGCAGATCATAAGTCGGTGGCCAGTTTTCAAAATAAGATTTCAGCTCAAAAAGTTCGCGTCAAAATGTAAACGTCTCTCTTTACTGTGTTTCCAACTTACGTGGTCAGTGTTATGTAACAGTTTGCACCTAACAATACATATACACATATTGCATTGTACATGTGTTGCATTAAAGTACAAATACTCCATTGCCACAGTTTTAAAATGAAAACAAACATGCAGTCATCTTATGGTCATACATCTTATGGACCCCCTGGTGATTATTTGGAGGTCTACAAGGTGAACTCTTGGATGAGGGACGAAACATCTTCAAGTATCTTCAACCAAGTCCAGTTGCACTTGATTTTAACCTTCCTTGGTCAACAAGGAGATATACATTTTTAATTTTGTCTACTGAATCAGCAAAGTGGATTTACAAAAGGTATAACTAAGGCAGCTGCAGCCTTTCTAGTGACACGTACAATGGTAAGACTAATTTAACATTCCTAACTGACCATCAATTCTTTCTCCAGTAGATGGAACAATATGTCTTGAAGTATTTTCATATATGTTCATGAACATGAGGCAGATATATTAGCTCCAATAAATGACAAGAAATAGAAGTAGAGAAAGGTATGTTTTGAAATTGTCACCATTCTGTAGTTTGTCCACCAGAGAGCAATGATACATTTATTTTTTACAGCTGTCTCCTCCAGTCCATTTCTTGGTTGCACTTGTTAAAAAATTTAATACATTTAAGGGAATCATAAAGTGTAAAGAAAATTAATATCAGCCAATATATTGGATTTTGTAAACCCCCAATTATTATTATTTCAGTATCGGTAGGGCTATCAAAATGAATTCACTGATTTTGGTAAAACTTACACATAAGTACTCCTTAATGGTGCTATATTTTGCCAGCACATTTTATTGACTTACATTCTCCATCTCAAGAATGACCTTAACCATCAAATACTGTAAATATAAACACCAACATCAAGTATTTGGCCTAAGCTAATCCTAAACATTATCCTCTTTAATAATGGTGTCTTAAAACATGTATTTATATATACCCCAACGTGTAATATTTGAGTCATAGGAATGAACCTGGCTTTCATGCATCACTTAAAATACAGCGCACATGCTAACAACCTGTCTCCAAAAACAGTATGCTAGATGTTCTTGTGGACTTTGAGGTGTATTTTCATGTTGGATTTCTGGGAAAAGGTCTTGTAGCATGTTAAACACTCGTACGGTTTCTCTCCAGTGTGTGTCCTCATGTGTTTCTTCAGTCCTGAACTACTGTGGAACGATTTGTCACATTGTGAGCAAGAATACGGCCTCTCTCCTGTGTGGAATCTCCGGTGTACCGTCAATTGTACAGCCGTGGCGAAACCTTTTCCACAGGATTCACACTGATAAGGCCGCTCCCCTGTGTGAGTGCGTGAATGCACCAGCAAGGCCCCAGAGCTACAGAAGGACATACCACATGTGCTGCACAGGTACGGCTTCTCCTTCTTGTGCATCCTGAGGTGCACGGTGCGCGGATACAACTGCGTAAACTTCTTGTCACATAAAGTGCAGGCATACGGGCGCTCGCCAGTGTGAATGCGCATGTGGGACTTCAAGACTGCATTTGTCAGGAACCGCTTGTCACAGTGCGAGCAGGCAAACGGCCTCTCCCCGCTGTGATGTCGCAGGTGAACTGTAAGCAACGCCTGAGAACTGAATCTCTTCTCACAGAGGCTGCAAGCAAAGGACAGGACTTTAGGTTGAGAGTGAATGAGTAAATGTTGATTCAGGTCTTTTTTATTTTTATAAGCCTTGTCGCACTGAGTGCATTTGAAAGGCCATGCAGAAGAGTGAACAGTGTGATGTTTTTTCAAGGAGGAACGAGATGCAAAAGTCTTGCCACACTCAAGACAGGTGCTTTCATTCTCTCTTCTGCAGTTCTCGCTGAACGGAAGTGAGAAGTCGGCACTGGCCCCTGTTGAGGACTGGATCGCTCTCTCAAGTAACAGCCCCTTGTTTCTGCTCAGATCCAGACGATCATTTACTCCTTCCACTGAGCTTTCGGAGCATCCGGGTGGCTGGAACGCGGCTTCACCACCTGTTTCTGCAAACAGGACACAAGTGATGTAGTGATGAACTCTCTCAACAGAATCTACATGCCACGTCAAGATTTTGTCCCAATATGACTTCGCACCCAACACTTGCACTGGAGTGAGATATCATTCTTCAGATGATCCGGAAAATCATGTGCAATGCAAGAGATGCTCACCATTGTCACCAGCCGCAGCAGCTTCTTCTGAACACAGAGAGGAAGTGAGTGGCGACAGCCTGTACTCGCACAGCCCAGAGTTTGGATTTGTTTCAATGGAACTGTCATCAGTCTCTCCATCATCCTCACAAAAGTCTTCTATGCTACAGCTGTCTTCTTTCTTCATTGCCTTCTGTTCTGACTTCCCCTGATTTCTTCCCTGTGGTTTCCAAGTGTCTTGTTTGCCGTCTACACGTTCCCCATCCATTTTCTGATCTATGGAATCTTCACATCCCACTGAAGTGTTTTTAGATGCAAGCGTGGAGAGAATAGTGTCCGACATGAAGGTGAATTCACCTGAGAAAAACAGATAAAAGTTATATAGGAGGTGAAATTCCATGTAAAAAGGCAGCAGAGCAGTTCTGGTTGTCAGTCAGGAAGGCAGCACTACCAGCACCAGAATAAATGGATATATTACTAAAGATTTCAGTACAGAATACTGGACATTCTTTACCAGGTGTTGAGTTCAAGGCAAAAAAAACTTTATCTACCTTTCTCTTATTGCATGACTACACTGATACCTAATTTTTAGTCCCTAATTATTTATTATCAAAACTTAAAATTGGTAATCCGCATTCCCAGCTAAACCATGCCATTTTATATTCTATGGTAATTGTAATAGATTAAATGGTGGGAGTGGGGAACTGGCATAAGCACATTTTAATGAAACACTAGTGAAAATGTTTTCAGGTTTCAGTGCAGCACTTGACTGTATAAGGGAGAAACAGATTACCAAATGTTAACAGGTTCTTACTTTTAGTCAACGTCTGCCGCTCCTGTTGCTGCTGCAAAATCCTCTTCAGATCTTCAGGGTCGGCAACAAACTGCTCAAACTCGTAGTCATGGGTAGAATTGTCAAGCATGGACAATACCTGGGAAAGAAGAGTGGGTGGATTTTAAACTTTAAACTCCTGCTTCTTCTGCCAAGATCATTTTTTTACTACGTAGATCTACATTTGTAATCTGTTTTCGTATGGGAGAAATGACAATAAACAGAGACAACTGCCACTTTTTCAGAACCCGACAAATGTCACAATGGCATTCAATATTTTCTTTCATACTTAACAGACCAATACCAACAACACCAAAGATGTGTGGCAGGCCATCAGAAACATCACAGGCTACAAAAGCAGTAGCTCCCCCATCATGTGTGAGGCCACATCTCCAGATTAGCTAAACACCTTTTATCGCTTTGATTTCAAAGAGTCAGCTTTAAAGTCTACTCCACCTCCAGAGGACTGGCCACTGACATTATCCACAGCAGATGTAAGAGGAGTCCTGCTGAGAGTTAGTATGAGTAAACCAGCTGGGCCTGATAACAGTCCTGGCCGTGTACTAAAAACGTGTCAATGATGTTATTACTGACATTTTCAACATATCACCGTCTCAGGAGAGGGTATGGCCCTCACCCCCATTCTGATCAAGTGCTTTGACAAACTGGTCCTTCAGCACATAAAGAACAACATCCCAGCCAGCCTGGACCCTCACCAGTTTGCTTTCAGAACCAATAGATCCACAGAGGATGCCATCTCCACTGCCCTCCAGTCAGCCCTCACACACCTTGAGAAAAATAACACCTACATCAGAATGCTGTTTGTGGATTTCAGCTCAGCATTCAACACAATCTCCCCCATGAAGCTGATCAGCAAACTCAGCACTCTGGGTTTAAATACAACACTCTGCAACTGGACACTGGACTTCCTCACAAACAGACTCCAGTCCGTTCGGATTGGCGGACACACCCCTACTCTAGTGCTCAACACCGGAGCCCCCCAGTGCTGTGTGCTCAGCCCCCCATTGTTAACGCTGTACACCGACACGACACCACCGTCATCGACTGGATTTCAAACAACGCTGAGACTTCATATGGGGAGGAAATTGATAATCTTGCAGAGTGGGGCTGTGACGTCCCCGGGACGTCCTTGTCTCTATCAGGTTGCTGAGTGTTCATGTGTGTTCTGTTGTAGGTGTCAGTAGGTGGGGTCGTTGTCATCGACATGTATTGGAGCCACCTGGGGCCCGGTGTTCTTTATATATAAAGCAGATCCTACCTGTTGCACTTTGGGGGAGATAGAGAGGAAGGAAACGCTGTTCCCTTTACTCCTCACTCCTCATTATATTGCTTTCTTTATTAACATTACATTGCACTCATCATTTCATTCATGCAAACATGTGGACACTACTGACCTACTGATTCCCATACTACACTGCCTTATTTTGAGTAATTATGTTAAGTAAATGTTGAAGTTGTTGTAAATAAAGTAATGGTACTGTTGCTGCAGCCTGTTGTTGCTGTGTGATTATTTATGCCAGGGTTTTTGAGCCAGGCCGTGACAGTTCCCAGCGAACAACCTACTGCTGAATGTCAGCAAAATCAAGGAGCTGATCACTGATTTCAGGAAAAAGGAGATAAAAACACACACTCCTTGAGCGGAGATGATGTAGAGCAGGTGAAGAGTTTCAGTTTCCCAGGAATCAGCATCACAGAGAATCTGACATGGTTAACTTCACATCTCCACACTGGTGAAGAAAGCTCAAAAACTTTTTTTTCTTTTTTCTTAAAGAAGCTTAAGAAGGCAAAAGTCCCACGCCAAGTCCTTGTCAGCTTTTACAGAGGAGCAACAGAAAGCATCCTGACTGGAAACAGCACAAACCGGCATGGGATGTGCACTTAAACTCAAATTTATCCTCAGCACCGCTCCACTGATTTCTGTTCACCATTTTTTTTATAATTGCTTTTTATTACTGTATATTGTCTGCTACATAGCAGAAGGGAGTTACAAACTCAATTTCACTTTACAACCTGTTGTATTGTGACAAATAAATCTACCATGTACCTTGTACAAATGAAAGCCATTTCGGCCCCTGCAGTTCTGTGATTCGTAAACATTTCCACTCTACAAGCCATTACTACACAGCAGGAACAATTACGACTGATTAAAATGTTATGTTTTACTGTGTTTACTGTGTTACCTTTGAATGCCTTACCATAATAGGCCTATGTTTCAGTGTGTGGTGCCTAATGCTTTACTATGTTGCAACTAGCTGAAAGGAGCTTTCATGGGAAAGTAGCTCATTAGAGGGTTTCTTAGCTGACAGTCCTTGATAGGAAACAAAGTGTCTTCCATATTAGAGCAGTTGGTTTCAACTCCCTTCTTTACTAAGACAGCAGCATAATAACCTTAGACTATAAAGTCACCTGTTTCTTCACTGGCTCTTTGTCTAACACTCTGCAGACTGTTTGCACTGTGTATGTGTGTGACCCTTTGCAAAGAATAAAACCTTTTAAGGCGTCTTGATTGAATTGTTTATTTTATTTTATTATTAATTACCTGCACATAATTCATCAGCCAGCTTTTGGGGATCGAGTGGATGGAAGGTCAGTTGAATGGTCAGTTTATCTTCACCCTTCTGCCTACCTGTGAAAAACTTGGTACTGGGAGGAACTCTTCTAGTCGGTAGAAGAATTCCCACACCAGGATCTGCAGCGCTGTATCAAAACGAGCTCCATACTGTGCTGAGAAGACCTCCTTTGACAGGAAGAAACATATATCATTAACATTAAATATCATAATGTATGAAATATACAGAAAATAGGCAAATCATTTTACAGATAGACACATAATGTAGATACACAAATTAATGAGTTAAAAAAAGGTTGGGGTAAAACTAACCGTGAAGAATTTTTTTTTTCAGATTGGTGTCTAAGCAGTGTTTGAACCAGCTCCACAAATGCTGACTTTGAAATCTCCACCTCTCCATCTTGGTCCTGCCAAGAAGCCCAGTAGAGGTTTATTTAAATGAAGGAATTATAGGTTTTCTATTCTCTCCTGCTTAAAATAAACAGTTTATGAATTTCTGCACCTACATCTCATAGTAAATGACATCTAAAACTACTAAGACATCAATAACATTGTATCCTCATGTAAAACATGCTATTAACGTTGCATACCTCTGCATTCATGCGGTTTGTTGTACTCTGTTGGAAACTGTTAAGATGATCCTGGATAGCTTTACAATCAATCTTATCCACCCTCTTTAAGAACTCAAGGATGAGCTGAAAAACATAAAGTTAAACCTTTATGCTTATCTTTCAAACTAAAACTGATATTGCATTTTGACAGTCTAGACAATGGACGCATTATTCTTGTGTTAAACGCAGTCACGCTGTGTCAAGCGTAAAAGAAGGATACAAGAACAGGAAAAGATGCACCAAAAATAGTCTTAATACCCACATTTACTCACCCGAGCTCTCAGTCCCAGGATGAGCTGAGTCCTCTGCTTGTAGCTCAGAAGCTCTGGGACCATCTCCGTCACTAATGTGATGAATCCAGCCAGTCTGTCATACTGATCTACATCTCGCTCCTGGGCCACCTGCCACATACAGGCTGACATCAACCTCAGTGGAGGAACCAGGAGGCGCAGGGATGCCAGAGGGAGCTGAGGATCTAACAGAATATGCAGGCAGTAAAAGAAAAGCAAACATATTATTAACTTGACAAATGTAAACTACGTTTTCTCTGGAATGAGGACATACAGTAAATATATGTTGTAGAGCTGCAAATAATGATTATTTTCATTGTCGATTAGTCATTATTTTCTCAGTCAATTAATTGTTAAGTCTATTAAATGTCGGAACATTTTCTAGAACCTTCAGATTGCTTGTTTTTTCAACCCAGAACAGTGTCAATCTTGACATCGTTTGAGCACAAAGCGTCATCAATGTAAAATGTCCACCTCCTCTCATCCTGCTGGATTACAATAAAATAAAAGGGAAAGAAGCAGCAAATCATCATATCCAAGAAGCTGGAAACTGAGAATGTTTGGTATTTTTACTTGATAAATGACTTGAAAAATTGACTTGAAAAATTATCAAAATGGTTCCACATTCATTTGTTATCCATTTACAAGAATTTCCATTCAGATCAATTGTTCTTTCAGGCTGTAATAAGGTATGATGGACAGTTGAGATTTTATTATGAAGACAATGAATGTAATATAAAGTTAATTAACTTGTCAAGTAGTGCGAGCAGTATAATTTTGTTAACTATGATTTTACTGGACAGGCAGAATTAATGGGTAGCGTTAAGTTTCTTTTCCACTCCAATACTGTGTTCCTGCAAGCCTGCATCCACCTGCAGGAACATGATGTACACACTCCGAACAGAAGGTGGCTGTAATGAACCAAATGCATTTTCTAACAGGGGACGTTGTTTGTTCGAGGGGCCCTCCCCTCTGAACTTAGCGGACATCTCGACCAAACTGAACCTTACTGCAGAACTGCTAGGAACAGTTTAACCCCTACTAAGTGTAAAATATTTCCCAAAGGAGTAACGTAGTTACAATCATACCTGGTAGAGATACAGACCTGGACTTTTTGCCATTTCTGGAGCGCGTTAGCTAGCTTAGCTTTGCCAACCGTTGCCGCCAGTCAGCGCTGTTTAGCTGGTCGTTAGAGTTGAGAGCATGTCAGTCAACTCTTACGTTTTATTTCATACGTCCCTTTACATCCCTCCAAAATGATTTGAGGACGGTGTAACCTAGCTAACGTTGTTTTAGGCAACAACAAAAAGTCGTTAGCTAGCACATCCGGTTCCCTGTTTTCAAAATAAGAGGCCAACTCAGTAAGCTCATCAAAGTCTCATTGCTGACATGAGGAGAATGAAGAGCATGGAATTGCCTGGCAAGTAGTTTCTTACATTTTTGTCACACATAACAACCTTTGTCTTTGTACATATGTGTATACAAACACGGATGGGTGACAAATTAAAGGAAAGACATACAACTTGAAAATTAGCAGGAAAGACCCCTGACAGGTGCTGAGGAATCCTTGATAATATCAATATAATAATAATAATCAAATAAATAACATCCTCTTCTAAAAGCAAATGGTCGCGATTTTATGTCAAATGAAAATATTTATTTTATTTCTTCATAATAACATTTTGGAAAGGGTCATTCTGGGTAGCCAGCAATACATTTGATACTTTAAGTACAATTTTGAACACAGCATATATCTGCAGAACACCATAAGTGCTCCTCGTCAGATATTCTGCAAGTCTCTGCTGAAGGGATCAAACACCATTCTTCCAAAAAGATATTCCCTCATTTGGTGTTTTTGACGATGGCAATGGAGAGCACTCTCTCCATCCAAAATGTCCAAACATTCAACCAGACATTCATCTGGGTCCAGATCTGGTGACTGTGAAGACCAGAGTATGTATGTTACTCATCAAACCATTCAGTGACTTCTTGTATTGGCTAGTTATTACTGCTGTAATAAACATCAGTGTCTCTGCTCAAGCTCATGACAAAGTCTGCAGACAGGGCCAAGCAGGAATGCTTTGATGGACCTCACTAATGGAACTGAAACTCTCCACAGCGTCCCAGTTGATCCTGCAGTTGTGTTTTATCAGATTTTGGTCACCTCACTTCCACTCACATACTCTTAGTACAAAGAGAGGTGAAAAGTTCAAAATTGTGGCTCCAAAAAGTAATCCCTTCACACCATAACAAGTCAGTTGATTATTAAAATGAATGAGATTATATGAATTGTTACCCTAATAATTTAGGGTACAGGGTTTTGTGTAAAAATAAGAAACAGGTACAAGGTAAAAATGAATAAATACCAGGAGGAAAATAAGTTAATCTATGCAGTGCTGTGAAGGGGAAAAGAAAAACAGAAGGTGCAAATTTAAGGGGGGCTGAGGTGGTGGTGAGTTGTCCCCACCAATAATCACTTAAAAATATAAAAAAAAGAAGCTTTGTTAGGATTAAAGTCAAAGACAAACTGTACTTTGCACTGACCAAGTATGAAAAACATTAAGTAAATTATGAAAAAACTACATACAAAAACATTAATACACCCATAAATACACATAAACATAGGGATATATACACCAATCAGCCATAACATTATGACCACCTGCCTAATATTGCATAGGTCCCCCTTTTGCTGCCAAAACAGCCCTGATCCGTCAAGGCATGGACTCCACTAGAACTCTGAAAGTGTGCTGTGGTATTTGGCACCAAGACGTTAGCAGCAGATCCTTTAAGTCCTGTTACTTGTGAGGTGGGGCCTCCATGGATCGGACTTGTCGGACTGTTTGTCCAGCCCATCCCATCGAGCCCTGCTCGGTTGGATTGAGATTTGGGGAGTTTGACATCATGTATTCCCAGATGGCAGCAGCCTCTTTCTGCAGGATTATGTGCCCTGCCACAAAGCAAGAATGGGTCAGGAACGGTTTGGGGAACCCAACGAGTTCAAGGTGTTTACTTCACTGAATTTACCTGGCAACTCTAGTTTCTAGTTACTTTGCAGATTAAGATTTTCCACATATACATAAAATCAACCTATAAAACGTGATGCATTGTTATCGAATAAATATGAGAATCAGAATCAGCTTTATTGGTCAAGTATATGTACACATACAACGAAGGGGTTTTTCCCCCATTTTCTCAATATACTTAATATACGGAAAAACAGAGCTGGACAAAGACAGGACTATTATGTACATAAGTATGTGAAATATATAGGTGTGTGTGTGTGTGTGTGTGTGTGTGTGTGTGTGTGTGTGTGTGTGTATAGCAATAAACAACAATACAAATAAAATGTCTACATGCAAATCAAGTGCTGTGATTTGTAAACAATACAAGTAGTGCAAAGAAATAAATACTGAGTGGATATACATGGAGTGGATTTTTATGATGATGATGTACAGCATTATAAAAAAGTACATGAATTAATCAGCAATAATAATCCAATTATATAATGTACTTTTTAGGGTATTGCTGGTATTGCTTCTTTTACTGAAGTTAAGGATCAGGATACTCCTTATACTACAGCATAGATACCCAAACTGTGCAGGCCTGTGCCTAATGGTAAGCCAAATGGCGCCATCTAGTGTTGTGAAATTTGAATTGCCAGGTTGATCCGGTCTTCGTCAGCCAACCAGGAAAGAGGGCTTGCCGTGATCTGGACTGAGGCGGATGAGACCAGAAACCTTTGTTCTGTCTCTCCTCCCCAATGCGAGAATAAAAAACAAGAGCTGGTCAATGCGTCCTACAAATCTGCGCTCGCATTTTGTGGGTTGGCGATCGCGGATGGATGTTTTACTAATCAGAAATTAGCAGTATTTATATATCTGGGCATTTTGTGTTTCTTTTTTTTTCTCCTGTTCGCCACAACCCGAGGGGGGACATCTGGTCGTCAGCTGCTAAATGGAAATAAAACGCGGGGCTGAAAGTGGAACGAGTCGAGGTGCGTGTACGCTAATGAAAAATCACGAAAGCAGTGTTCTTAATGATCCCTGATCTCTGCTGTCATCAGTGAGTTTGCAGCGACCTGGACACAGATAACGCAAATGAACAGCTTATATTATGAATAATATCCCCGCAGTGTTTCTATAAGGACTAACTTGATCCACAATGACCTTATCAGCATCCTAAGTGAAGGCTCTCTCTCCTCCATCACTCCATCAGAGACTCATTGAGGTGGTAGGATAGTTTCCTTATAATATTGATCTCAGCATTATTATAGTAATGCTTCCCCCTGTAGCTCCCTACATCATCAGACTGTCAGAAATTCAATGGGCTGCCCAGTTGTACAGCATTAAATGAGATGCGAGTTTGGTTTGAGTTTGATGAATGCTGTTGTCAGGGCACCTGTGAGCAACACTGTCACGGCTTTATTTCAGAAGGCACTTTGCCACTATAAATCAAGTTCTCTAATGCATATTGCGCTCTTAGCCCGGCATGTACAGTGTCAGGTGGACGTTGTTGACTCAGATTGCTTTTTGGAGTGCTTCTAAATTAGATGTACTGTATTTTAAGTGAACCGCCACTGATGTGGGCTTTGGATCATTTTTCCTTGTCTAAACAATAACATTGACACTTCCCAGGCAGACCGTGGTGAAGAATCCTTTCAAACTGAACCAAGACACGCCTGATAAGGAAATACACAGATTAATAATGTGAGCTAATTACTGCACCAAAACAATAACCAAAGCACATTTTAAAGCAGGCACATTTTTATATAAAATAGTGGACATATAGTTAAGATTAAGATTAAGATCAACTTTATTGTCCCCGAAGGGAAATTTGTCTTGGGCATCAGTGCCGCATGAGGCTGCAGTAAGCAACAGTAACACATTTGGACTTTACATTCACATACATCATACAGTCCGCAGCATACATTTACGTTACATTGCACAAGTATCAGAGACCATACCCCTGTCAATAATTAATTACAAGGTAAGTAGAAACTGAGTGATATAAACCAATGAATTATTATATTCAATTGCACTTGAGCACATAAAGCAGAAAACAATATATCAACACTAAAAGTACATCCACCTCAATTCTATATTAAAAAGGAAGAACTCAGTGCTGTGAATAATAGCAATAAAACTGTTTTCTTTTGCTACAGTTTACTAATCCTAAATTCCATTGTTGCTTTGTGTGAGGACCATTGAAATTAAGCTTTTCACATTTATACACCCGTATACACCCATCAGCAAAAACTACCTGCCTAATATTGTGTAGGTCCCCCTTTTGTCGCCAAAACAGCCCTGATCCGTTAAGGCATGGACTCCAATAGACCTCTGATGGTGTGCTGTGGTATCTGGCACCAAGACGCCAGCGGCAAGTTCCTGTTAGTCCTTTGAGTTGTGAGGTGGGGCCTCCATGGAACGGACTTTTATTGTCTAGCCATCACAATTTGGCCCTTGTCAAAGTCGCTCAAATCCTTACACTTGCCCATTTGTCTTGCTTTTAACTCATCAACTTTGAAGACATAACGTTCACTTGCTGCCTAATATATTCCACTCACGGACAGGTGCCATGATAACGAGATTATCAGTGTTATTCACTTCACCAGTCAGTGGTCATAATGTTATGGCTGATCTGTGTATATCATTTTCTTTGCCATATTTTATTTTGTTATATTGCAAATTTTGGGAATGAAAAACTAGCAGACAAAAAAATCTTACCACAAGGTCCATTTTCTGCAGTAGCTTTTCTAGAGATTTAGATTTTTTGATCAGCTTTGGGAAGTCTGGAAGGTACTTGATGGCTGCCCACTCCTTATCTAGAGCTCTGACAAATTGTTTCAGAAGGCCCAATTTGATGTGCAGTGATGGCATTTCAAATAAATTTCAAAATATCAGTGTCCTGGTCATAAAAGTAAAGTTTGTGTTACATAGTGCCAAATAAATTATGCTGCAAAATCAAAAGAAAATACATCAATGGATATAGTTTGATGGTGTATATTGTCACATTGCACAACCCTATTGACATGTTTCAATGGATTGGGAAAAGACCTCTGATAAGGAATATGAACCATAAAACTGTAATGCAACCGTTGAGATGTGTGCAGGTGTTTGATGTAACCTGGTTATTGAGTTACCTGCCTTGGGTTGTTTACCCCTGCTCTTGTTTTCTATGAGCTTGTGGGTAATTTGAAACACCTACTGTTGCCTGTTGACACTGTTGATAACAGGCTGGATCAGAAATTTTTTTAATTGTCAGTTACATTTAATGTTAATGTGATTTTTGGCGTTTACTCGTTCACCTTTTCCGTCTCTCCTCCACTTCAGGTAATGATCTTCCAGTCCAGTATCTACGCCTCCTGGCCCCGCCCTTGCAGCTTTTGTCAGCTGCAGTGTGGCAAGTAGTGCAGCAGGGACTTGTGGACCACTATGGGATGCTGGAGGAGTTTGTTACCATGGTGACGGAGCTGGTCCCAGAGCTGATGAGCTATAGTCAGAGGGCTCAGCTCATCCTGGGACTCAGGGCCAGGGTTAGTAATAATCACTGATTAGTCATACTGAGGTGACATTTAGTTAAGGTATTTGTCACTTGTTAATAAAAATCCAGTTAAAGAGGCACATAAACAGTTTATCTTAAATCAAACCAACAAGTAGATGATAACCAAGTGTAAAGATAGTTTAGATAGATAGTTTAGACAACCCCAGTGTTTCCTCAGTACTATTTTGGATTTGTGATGGGAGTATTTTGTCTCACTTAGATCTGTACTTAATACATTTTTCCCCTATAAATCAAGGGGGCAGTGAAGCAGCAGGTCAGCATTGAAGAACAAGTCAAACATCATTTAATTTACAATTCAAGTGACACAGAAAAGAGAGCAAAGATAAAACAAAGTTCCTCAGTAGCTGTAGTCCAGTGTTACATCGGGAGGTTAATAAACCTGGACTGTTTGAATGGGTTATGGGAGACGTTTGCCTTCAGGGCTGTCTTGTAGAAAGCCTTTAGAAGGTCAGGTGAGGTAGTATAAAGAGCGACAAAGTCCGCGTAGGGAGGAGGTTGTGGTGGATGAATGGGTCAAACACAGGACTTTAACCCAGCAGACCTGGGTTTGTGTCCTGTGTGAGACAAAAAGTCAACGTTGACTTATCATTTTTAGACTTAGTTGACTTATTCCATTTCCATTTTCAGTCGCACTTTGGTTCAGTCCAGGCAACAAAAGTACATGGTTAGGTTTAAGAAAGGAACCTGTTTTGGGTTAAAATGGGGGTTTAGTCAGTGAAAGTCAATGAAAGCTCTGTGTTTGTGCAAGGCTTTCTGACACAAAGCCAAAAAAGCAAATTTCTCCCACGTGCGTTTGAATGTGAAGAATTTGATTTTTATTTATTTTGTGTGTGTGTGTGTATATCCAGCTGGTTCTGGAGATGTGTCGAGGTGAGCACCCAGTGGACATGCAGACCATTCAGCCGCATCTGGACAGAATTAAAGCTCCTGTTAGCACTGCCAAGGATCCCCATGTAAGTAAACTGTTGCTGGCAAACACGCAGATGTTTCCCTTCTGGTGTGGAAGTTCACTGGGTCAATCAGGATTGATTGAGTCTCATGACTGTGTTTAATGTGTGTGTGTGTGTCTGTCTGTTTGTGTATAATAGGTAACCATCGACCAGGTGGAGGAATCTGAGGTGAACTTTGTGGAGTTGGTGCATTCATTACTAGAGGATCCCTCTGAAAGAAAATATTTTTTCCAGGTGACATGGCACTCACAATGAAAATAAGCTGTTGTGTGGATCCAAATTTTCCTGTATACATTAAACTAACTAAATTAGTACCATAAAACAAAATGTACTCTGTATACTGTACCATCACATAGAAAAATGTCCAGTGAATGTACATTTCGCTATTCACTCAAATGGCCTCCTCCGATATGATTGTCTCTCCAGGAATGTTTGACTAGTTATTATTTTTACAGGAGCTATGGCTGCTGAACAGGCCTGTCACTTTTAACCAGCATATCATTCACAAGAGACGGCGGGTTAATGGGATCACTAACAGAAATCTTCAGGCAGTTGCACCATTTCAAAAGTTCAAGGTTTTAAAGCGTTCGTACCAAACACAATATTTGATACATAGTGCAATGAGTAAAAGTTGTGCTGTACACAAGAGAGCTCACACAACCCCTCCCCAAATGCTTGCTGCAGGAAACACTTTCCCAACAACAACCTATCCTAAAAGTATCCCTCTCTCTTTTAATCTGTTTGTCTCTCTTTCTCATACACAGGAAATATTCCCCCTATATTTTGGCTCCAAGTATGACGCAGCACTTGAGATGCTGGTGTGGGAGTTCATATCAAGACTGGAGCAGCTGCTGCCGGTTCCAGACTTCACACAGGTGTGTCACGTTCCTTGAAACTCTAGCTTGCCACGCATTATCAGCCAAGTACACAATAATAACAATGATAATTTCTGGTACTTATTTTCTTCATATTTGTGTGAAGGTCAATGACATATCTAAACTAATGGCTGAATTGGCATGAAATATGAGCAGAAACCTACAGACTTTGGTGACCCTATAGGCTTTTCTCCAGTGCTACAATCAACAGAATTTCAAATGAGAATGTAAAATGTCATATTTAAACTACAGTTATACCCCTATTTTGTAACCTGCCCACTGCGTTGTTGATGCGCACATCTACCTAGGGAGGTAATCAGGCCCTGTGGGAAGTCCACACTGCTTGTTTTGCCTTTTTGTCTGTTATCTCGCTATCAGACAAGACAAGAGTAATGCAAGGAAATAGCTCTGGAATTATTCCTAAGTACATCGCTTTTTTCAGGATGACCATGGCACATAGGCCGAGTGCAGGGGCTCATCTGTCTGCACCACTGACTCAGAGACAGATATGCAGGAGGGTTTACTGGGCTCAGGTGCAACACAATGTCCCAGTAGACTGCTTTCTCCTTCCTTCCTTTCCTGTACCCAGCAGTGCCAGAATAGCACAACTACAAAAGTCAGATTAGTAGCAGTCACATACTATAAAATAAAAAATGCTCATTAGGCCAGAAAGTATTAATTTCCTTAAGATGTCACACTAATGATTTCTCATGTGGGTCAGACTTCATGAGGTTCTAAAGTAATGCTCCTCATATTTCTGGCACAAAGTAATATATACATGTCAAGGAAAACGCATCCCCCCTCATCAAGTTAACTTATTTTTCATTTGAACCGCTCTGTCATTTGGCAGGATTTACTAAAGCCAGTGACTTGATCTCTCTTCTCAGTTGGCAACTTTGCTCGGAGACGCTCCGTCATTCCTAGACGACTGTTTACAATCCTTCTTCCCGCCAGAGGACATGAAGGCTGTACTTGAACATCACAGAAACCTCGGCCATTTTGAAGAGAAAGGTACTGTAGGGCCATGGCTGCGTACTGTAATTGTATACTCTACCATTGTTACCAATAAAGCATTACTTCTTAGTCATTTCTGTTTATATATTTTGCTGAATTTGAGTTTGGCAGTTTTTCTTGCCAGCTGATTTATGTTTGAGCCAAGCTGGGGTCTAATTAATCATCTTTTTTTTCTCATTTGTAGATCCTAGATTATTACCGATGGATGACTGCATTCTCTCCTCCCTGTCTCTGCCTCCTGGGACCAAACCTGTCATGAACACCGCCTCTTGTTCACCTGCTCTCAAAGACTCAAACCCTCCAGAGCAAGAAGGACGTCTTGATGCTCCCTTCAACACTAGCGGCCTCGAGAGGGCGAGCAGGAGGAGCTCTGAGACACTGAATCAAAGACTGAAGGAGACAGGAGACTCGGGCAGTTGGCAGCTTAGAAGCGGCAACATTTCTCAGGAGAGGAAAGTGCAAAACTCAATTACTACACGGCCATGTGATGAAACCATAGACCTCACTACACCTAATGAAACTGTGGACAGAGAGTCAGCAGCTAACGACAACAGCCAAAGTTTGAGGGGAGCGCGGGTTCTCAGGAAAAGGAAACTGAGCGGAGGTGTGGACATTCCTACAAAACAGCCTGCGGAGGCGCCAGCTTTCTTGTAAGATTACCACAAATGTTTTGTTCATTTGTCAAACGCAAAGACATGACAGTGAGGTTTGTTCAGCGGACATCGTGGGCTT